TGGCTGGCAGTAAAAACATCAACAACTCTTTGACGTAAACAATGAACCCACAGCAACATCTTGAATAGTCTACACGGAGCCAAAGGAAAAAGACCTGCTAATGACAAAAAACACGTTCCACTGTCAAGAACAAGGTCGATTAAAATGTTCCATTATTCACCTACTGACAAGTAGAAAACAGTGTACAGTACGTCCAAAATATGCACTAATCATTAGAAAAAGGAAGCTATTATTCATCTCCTACGATTTCACTGAGGGTTTAAAGATCTGTCATACAGCCATCCCTGTCTTGTAGCCAATTCAGAACTTCAGATAACTAACAGTAAGTAACTAGCAATTAGTTTCATTATCAATCAATATCATTAAGTTCTCAATTATATAAAACCAAATGTCATAATGTAGTGAAAAATAATTATTTTAATACTTACAATCCCCCAGTGGCCAAGATGACATTTCCTTTATTGGGGGACTTTTATTGCCTTTATGATACTAACAACTGAAGACAGACAGGAAAGGGGGTCAGAGAGAGACAGGGGATGACACGCAGCAAAGGGCCGCAGGTCGAATTCGAACCCTGGGCCGCTGCAGCAAGGACTCAGCCTCGGTACATGGGTCACCAGCGCTATCCACTGAGCTAACCGGGCGCCCAAGATGATATTTCCAATGACTTCATTTTATCAATATTACAAAAAATCGAGAAGCTGGAACCTTCAAAGAGAATAGAGTTTAAAGTATTGTTGCTAGTTTCTCTCATTGGTTATACAATAAACTTGCTTTGCCTCAAATGTTTGGCATGCTTTGAGAAGTGACTTAAAGGTCCAGTGTGTAACATTTAGAAGAATATATTCCCCGAAAATAGAATAATATTCATAGGTTAATAATACCTAAAAATAAGGATCACGTTTTTGTTATCTCTGAGAGAGCGGTTTTTATCAATTGAGAGGGTGGGTCCTTTTCTACGTAGGCCGCCATGTTGAACCACCACGTTTCTACAGTAGCCCAGAATGGACAAACCAAACGTTCTCAGAGCTTTCCGTGATTTCTGCAAGTTTTGCGGCCACTGTAGTTTCTCCTACACATTTGGAAGGGGCAACAGTATTCAGTATCCTACACATTGGTCCTTTAAATGATGAATCGATTATCAAAATAGTTCCCCATTTACTTTCTGACTAATTGATTAATTGTTTCAGATGTAAAATGTTCACAACTGTTTCTAGTTTGATAGTATTTCTTCAAATATGTGCAGAGATTTTGCAGCTTACATTTACTTACTGGGTGCATCTTTTGCAAGCCACAGTCCAGCCTGGGACTAATCTAGCAAATGGAGGTCTGGACCATGTTAAAAAACAAAACATAAATTAAGGCCAGAAACTATGATCTATGGTAGTAAAAGCTAAAGAAAAACAAAAAACTAAATTACACAGCTGAGACAGTTGCATTTTGACCAATGGGTAGAATAAGACTCTCTGTCAAATGCAAATCCTTGAAATATGATAACTTCCGCAAACAGGAGATTATGCCCATTCATCAAATATGAAGAGCCAAACCAGCGAGCCAAAAGCCATTTGTTCACAAGAGGCAAATTTGTGCTGGCTGAAAAAAACAACGCGTCGAGGGAACCATGGTAAATTTGTGCCAGTCTACTCACAGATTCCTTTTGCCACCGAGGCCACAGTCTCAACAACATAGCTGTGGCCGCAAAGCAACCTCAGCCAGACAAAGACACAGACAGACAGACCGAGGGACAGACGTAGAAACAAATAAAGGCAGGCGGAGATGGCCACAGTAACAAGTACCGATGGACAGGCAGTGGCTGGTTCTCACCGTGTTTGACCTCAGTGGGCTATTTCTGCACTGTCAGGTCCACATCTTTTTATGTCCTCAGCCCTGTTTGTCAGTGTCACACACATTAAAGTGTCAAAAGTGGAAAACCATGGCTAAAGAAAGAGCTGCTGACAGACGGGGAAAAAAAACATGTTTGGTTGCCCTAGGGATAGTCAAAAAGGAAGTATGTTGTTGTGTGTGCATTGCATACGAGTGTATATGTATGTGTGAGCCTTTGTGCCCGTATGCACGTATTGCAAACCGCTGCAATGTTGTGCAATCTGTCGTTGAACTAACATAGCCTCTGCCTGGGGAGGAAGGGCCCCCCGAAACTGATTGAGGCATGTGGTCAGCGAGATATAGGAGGGATGGGGAGAGAGAAGGACGGACCGAAGGAGCGAAAAACAAAGAGGCACGATGCAGCACCAACACACAGCATAGCCGCAACACACACTTTGATTCCAAAACACTTCGGATTGTAAACATTAAAGCAGCTTGCCGTTGCTGATGCGACCTGTATCTCCTCACCCCCACACCTCCATCCATCTCTTTTCTACCCCCCTCCTCTTCCCGCCTGAGCGTGAGACAAAAATGCAGCAAGACATCAGGTGTTGCTATGGCAACAGAAGACAGCACAAGTGAGGATAATATGGACGGATGCCATAGTGAATGAAAACAACAAAACAGAAGATAATAAACACTAGCACATCCTAGATCAGCTACCTGATGTCTCTGGCTCTAGAAAACCCCACCATTCCTAACTCAAAGGAGGTGAAGGAGACCAGTGTAAAGGATTGGCCGTCCGTTGCCACGGTTACAAAGCAGGCAATGGGCAGGTATTGCTCTGGTTCTATAACCTCTTTTCAGTGTATTGGTTTTTCATCCTTATACTGTTCTTTAATTTTGTATTTACTGATCCAAACGCTCCTGGCAGTCCATCGGGACCATGGGCCTATTTATAAAGGTTTCTGCAACCTGGACACACTTTGTTGATCCAAATTCTCCTCCAAAGTCATCCATCAAGTAAAACATTGCCAATCAGTGTCTCATAGTTTTGAAGTGGACAGCAGAAACATGCCAAACTCTCTATGAACTCTGGGCCACAGCTGGTCTCCAGGAGGTAAGCTGGTGTGAGCCAAGTGCTAGTAATCAAACACACAAACATGCATTTTTCCTCTACCAAGTATTGCGCTTCCATAATGTAAGAGCCTACATTTCCCAAAATGCAACTCAATAGCGTCTGTCATTCATTCGACCATCCCCGCCTGGTAAAGCTGTGTTCATATCATATGGACGGTAAAGATTCCTGTGTCGGTGAGCGTTCACATCACAGGACTGATGTATTACTTCAAGGTGAATATATAGAGCTTTCAAAACAACACTATTTACAAGTTGACATGAACGTGGCACGTCGTTCAAACTACACGCGACCAGTTTGTGAAGCAGGCTTCCTGTAGCAAAGTCTCCAAGGCCGAGCTGAGACAACCCTGATGTTATGCTATTTTCTCAGACTTTAGAAAGCTCCCTTCAGGGACCCTCCAACTGTTCACACAGGCTCAGAGTTGCACTCCCCATGAGAAATAAACTGATGTTCAAGTGTACAATCGGTGGAGTGCCGCTTTAAAGGACAGCTTTGCCTACTGTTGCTACATGTGCAAAGAGTCTAAATGTCTCCCAGATGTAACAGCAGTAAAATCAGATCCGTTCAATCACTCGATGATGTGTATGCGTGCCATTCTGCATCCCCATAAACTGAAATCAAAAGTGTTGAAGTGGTGGACTTCAGATGGCAGTTAAAATGACAGGTTAAATTTAAAACACATACAGTATAACTAGTGAATAACTACATATATATGAACTTAAAATGAAAAGCAACTGATGTGACGGAAAAAATAAAATAACATTTCAACTTTGCTCCACATGACTGTTAATGTGGCTATTTTTCTTTTAGTGTAGATTAGTTGGCAAAGTGCGTGACTTGGAATGATTACTCACAGGCACTATCCCAAATCTTTCTTCAAAAGCAACAGAGCCACGGAAAATGTGAGATAGACGGTGGCTCTGTGACACTTGTTGAGCATGACACTGAAGCCCAGTGGCCCAAAGCACACTCACTGTACCCAACAACAAACAACAACAAAGGGAAGCAGTGTTCAATCAACCTTCATCAATAACAACTCATTTAGGAAGTACAGAACGTTATCCACAAGGTGATGGTTCTGGAACGCGGTTGCTGGGCGACACATGAGCGGGCAGCTGTTAATCAAAGAGTCAGAGGGGAGGGTTCATGCAGATGTTTGTTTATGGGATCGTTTACACCCCCCCCCCAAACATCTGAGCACCGGAAACTCTCGGTTTTAATAATTCGTGATTCCATCTTCTTGACGCCTGGGCAGAAGAAGGGATTGTGCAAGTTCACTTGGCAGCAGTCCTGCAGGCCGACATCTGGAGACCATTACGTCTGCAGGAGACGTGAAGCCAGGCTCGGTGCACGGCTTGCCCCTGGATATCAAACTACGTGTCATTAACGTTGTATCCCCCCCCCCACACACACACTTCTTAACAGGTCGCAGGCGGCAGGTTACTGAGTCTGCTTCTTCTTCTTTTCTCTGTGGTGATTTCACACAGTAAACGGAGAGGGAAGCGGAGATTAAGCATCCCGATGTGACAACATGAAGGAAAACTAGAGTGACACCAGGACAGGGCCTGCAGTTGCAGTCAGTAGGTTAGTGTGAAGATAAGAGGGGGGGCAAACAGGCCTGTGGGGTCTTAAATAGCCTTTTTTTATTAATGCACTGTTGGAATATGCTTTTATAAAAAATCTCCAGGGAAAGCAGCGGAGGTACAAATTGTTGCACTGTACCCCCCTCATTTTTTTTTTTTTTTGCTTGCGTAACGTGAAGGTGCGTTTAAACCCAATAGACAATTATCTATAGAGGCAGATTATATGAAAAGAAGAGACTGTTTCAATGCCTATAGCTGGCTCCTGGCATTTAAAAAAAACGACCAAGCACTCACTAAACATCTGTAGCTGTAAACCAGAACCCGTACCCAGTCTCTCCAGGCTGGAGCCATGCACAGCGCGGCGGGTTTCAGACACTGTGAACACGGCCGAAGCGTTTATTTACCGCTGCCCTGTCGACAACGAGCCTCCTGCGTACACACCCGCATCTTACCTGCAATCGCTCCGACGCGGGCTGCCACATATTAGCACAATGAGAGGTTCTCCGTCTTCTACTGCAGCTTGTTCTCTTTCCGTAGTCCGGTTCACATCTGTTCGCTTTCACGGCTTGTCTCTCTGTCCTCCTTCAATCCGGACTGGTCGGCAGTGAAGGATGTGTCGCTCCGCCTGGCTGTAGTTGTCAGACTGGCCAGCAGGTGGAGGTACCTGCTCTCTGTAGCTGGCTGGTCTGGAGGGGGGTGCTGCGTTCAGGTTTTTAGGAAAATTGAGGCTTCGACCAGGTGTTTTTGAGCTGCAGCCTGCAGGCGGAGACTAGCTTACACTTGTCACTGTGCTTATAGCAAAAATGTTTAGATGTTATGGGGGATTTTCTGCTGTCTCTTGTTTTTTTTTTCTTGTTATACTTTTTGTTAGATAAAAAAAAAAAAGACTCATCTTAAAGAACCAGTGTGTAGGATTTAGTGGCATCTAGCGGTGAAGTGTCAGATTGCAACTCCCTTGTTTCACCCTCCTCTTTGAAGCACGGAGAAACTACGGTGGCTGTGAAACATGCGAGAAATGCAAATAGCCCGTGTTTGGTTTGTCCGTTCTGGGCTACGGTAGAAAAATTAGGGTTCAACATGGTGGACTCCATGGACGGTGACCCACTTATTCATATTGATTAGATATAATAATAATATAGATATAAAAGGCTCATTCTAAGGTGACAAAATATAACAATTCTTATTTTCAGGTGATTGTACACTAGAAAACATAGTTATGCATATTATATTCCATTTCTGCAAACAGAGCCTCCAAAATGTTACACATTGTACCTTTAAACTACAATAATTAATATTCTTATATGAATCCTCTTTTGCTACAGAGCAATTTAGCATTTTTTGGCTAATTGTTCTGACTTTATAGTGCACAAGGTTACTGTTTGGGTTCACTCTTACTGCCCTCATATGGCTTTCAGCAGCAGAAGGCAGCTATTTCTGGCAAAGAAACTAAAAAAAACAAAACTGTATGCTCTCTGCCCAGCACCAAATAACACGAGTCACGAGTAAGCGACTAGCTTGTGAACATAGTGGAGCATTTAGGCTCTTCATTCGTCAAAACACGACTCCGAATGAATGCTAATGCTGCTCTGTGTACATTAATAATGTTGAGTGCATTCATAAAATGATAGAAAACAAATACATTTTCTAAAGTAAAACTTTAACTGTAAGTTCCTCATATGGGATCTTTTATCTATAGTTTGGGTGATATTTGCCCCTTTAAGAAAAAGGTAGTGACACAGTTGCTAAGACAATGGACTTTCTAAGTCTCCTATTGACAATTTTGAATAAAAACACACAAGCACCCATTTTCATATTCATAAATGTAAAATCAACATAAAAAATGAGTGATTTTTCAGCTGGATACCAAAATACACCCTGTAATGATATTTAGCACCATTAAAAAAAGGACTTCAAGGCCTTAGAAGATTAGTCATCCAGACCAGAGTAGCCAGCCAGTGCAGGAATGCAGTTAAAATGGAAATGATCATATAAAAGCTTAACATAAATTGCATGGCATTATTTCAGGGGCTAGTGGCAATAAAAACTTGGTTAGTTTAAATCCTCCATAATTCCCAAGTTTAACAAAGGCAGCTGAGGACAATGTCTATGGTGAATTGCCGCAGTCACGCCCACACATTTAGATCTTCCTAAACTTCTCAAAAACAAGTTGTAACAAAAACATTCAGCCCCGTCTCACTGTTTTGAATTGAGATTGGTTTGGTATGACCTTGTTATACTAAAAGTGAGGTCGATTACTTTGTGGAAAATTTTGAATGTATTAATCTTACTGCTGCCAAAATTGTGCACATATTTTAACCACTGGGTTTTGTAATGAAACCGCACCAGGGCTTCTAGCCCAGTCAGAGAATTTCAGTTTATCAAGGTGGAGACCTTTAAAGAGACTGAGAAGCTCTGTAACAGACAATGTGTTTTGGGACTCTTGTCAAGCCAAACAGCAAATACTCTGACCCTCTAGGGCATTCAGAGGGCAAAGGTCAAGCACAAGGCCTCCGAAGCAGACCATAAACAAAGGTGAGAGCCATCAATAACATCTGGTGCCCCTGCAATGTGTGTGTGCTTGTGTACACACATAATATATGTAGGTGTGTTGAGCGACATGACTCCGCAGTCGCAGTCTGTATTTAGAGATGTTTACATGGGGAACATCTGGATAAAGCCCGAGGTCGCTGAGGGTGTTCACATTACCAACACTCCATAAAAGGTCTTTCCCATGGCTGACGGTTCAGTCTTGTTGGGTATGACCTTGGGACATTGCAGAAAAACAGACGCTGTAGAGAATTTGCTCCTTTTTTTTTGCTGGAAACATGACCCATGTTTTCAAAACAATTTAATCACACCCAAAACTTATTGCTGCATGTTATTGTTTTATCAAATTGACCAGTTCCTCCAGGAAGTTCTCACATTTACCCTCCAAACACTGCAATTTTATTTTCACTGGAACAAGTTGCCTTCGATTTTTAATGAAGTGTACAGCAAAAAAAAATAATTGCAACTATTTTTTCACTTTCTCCTGTAATTCCATTGCAACATGCATTGCAATAAAATTTTTTAAATAAAAGCTGCTGTAAAATTAGACATTTTAAGCCACAACAATCCCCTCCAAAAATTGCTGCCAGGACTGTTAAGTGAAGCCAACAATGAAGTGTATTTAACCTGCATTCTTGCTAATGGCCAGCAGGGGGCAGCTCCATTGATTGCAAAATAAATGACTCTGATTGAACTGAGCCTTATGTAGAAGTGAGCCACTTGTCACTTAATTTACTAGGTCAGTAAACATTTTCATAATGAGTTTATGGTCTCACTTATTAGTTTCAAGTACCGAACCTTTAACTAGTATGATCGGGGCTGGGTATCGAACCTAAATACAGTTTGTTACTGACCATTTTAGAATATTTTCATTTTTCAGATTTCTTGTATGGCTGCTTATGTTTAAACATGAATTCACATGAGACACCAGGTGAATACTGTAGATTATGTTCACTTGAATCTTTATTGTTTACATCATTCAACATAGATAATAGGTAATCATGTGGTTGCTGTGTTTAAAATGAGAGAAAAAAATCTGAGGATTAGCTGAGCCTATTGGTAAAACATTGCTTGATCTTGAGAGGAACAACACAGCTGCACACACAGAGAGTTTTCCATTGGCAGGACACAGAAGCACATATATTCTGGAGTAGATATCATCCCTCTCTGGCTTCTCTTCCTCTGTCTTCTTCTCCACCCCGAAGCCAGCAAGAGGCCACTCCAGCAAAGAAACTCTCATCCAGAAACTATTCAACACTGTCAATACTAGATGTGAATTTGTACACTGGCATAAACAGGTACACTGAGTAAACCAACTATTGTTTCTGTGCAGTGAGAAATATACCTACCTATTATCCTAAATATCACTGAAATACATATAGTAGGATGGTAGGGTCACAGTACTCCAGTAAACCCACTTTCTTTACTATTCATACACCATTGAGAAACTTGCATGTAAAGAACAGGACAATATGTATTTTAAAAAGAAAGTTTCTGTGACTAGTATTTTATACATGTATGTATTTGATCTACTAACCACAAATTACCCCAAAGAAAATATTTGGCACAATCTAGACAGAGAAATACAACTGCAATGAAGAAAAATATCAACCAACAACCAATTACAAAGGATTTTAAAATAATGCAGAGAGAGAACATCAAATCTAACCATGCACAAAGTAAGGCAACCTACTGCAGAATTATTTTAGATATAGAAAAAGATACAGTGTATGCACCAAGAGGAGTGCAGCTATTTCTACAACACCTGTAAGGACTGCTGTCAGCACTGTTTGCTGAGTTTGCACTTAGAAATTTAGGCTGCTGGGTTGCTGGCCCAACCGACAGACAGACAGACAGTCTGGTGCAGACTAAAGTTATCACTCTTGTACAGCAGAGGTTACTGGTAGTGTCGCCCATTATCAATAACTTAAGTAATGCAAAGTATGCTCTTATGCTACAATAAAGCCTTATCGTGGACTTTGACAGGAAAATATATGTATCAAATTCAAGATTTGTTCTTTTTAAACTACAGAGTATGTTGTGGATTTTTCTTCTCTACTTTACATTCAATTTTGTTTTGCTGTTTTTTTCTTAAGAAATACTTTAAGGTTTATACTGACTTTCTGTGTATGTGTGCGCGTGCACATGTGTACATGTGCAGTCGTATGTGTGCGCGTGCACATGTGTACATGTGCAGTCGTATGTGTACAGCTTGTCATGTGCTGGGATGGTTGTGTTTTACAAATCCTTCGTCTTGATGAGGGTAACCAAAGGCTTGTCATCAGGACTGTAGTCTTCGTAGGCAATAGGAGTGGCATCGTACATGGCAGGCCTGGACTTCTTGCCAAATCTGATAGCAGATAAAAGCATAAACACAGACAGAACATCAATATTTCATCATCAAATTGTGAAATGTAGCCCATCCTTTGTGGGTACTGGGTTAGTGATATAATGACAAATAAATAGTAAACTGTAAACATTTATTAAAGGGGCACCTAGCCTTTATCTTATAACTGCTCGATCCTACACCTTCCCATAATGCACTTTTGTTAAACCCTGCATTCAACTCAACATCCACAGTTTCTAAAATAGGTTGTTTGGTAGAAAACGTTAAGTTTCCCAGCACAAGAAAAATAAATGTTCTCAGACATTATAAAATGGGAACAAAACTGTTTTCAGAGGCGGAGTAGTTTAATGGCTCGTAAGCTGACTTGAGGCTGACCATTATTCTTGACATTGAAAACAACAAGTGATTAACTCGCTTGTTCTGGAGCTTTCGACTGTATCACTGGTCCACAAGTTCCAGAAAAAGTGAGTGAGTTTGAATTGTTTTGTCAGCTGGTAAACCTTCATCTGTAAAATTGTTGTTCCAAAAATGCAAATTCCCAAGCAGCTGTGCACTGAATGTAAAACAATCCTTAAATAACTTACAGCAAAAGTACCAACGCATAAAGCTGTTTAGTAACAGAAAATACAAAATCAAGGAGACTGCATAATTAATCTACCACAGCAAATCTGTAACGCTCTTTCTGTTCAAGACTTTGTTGTCAATACAAACAAATCCCGTCACTGACCTGGCGTGACGGATGG